ACATTGGCATTTGAACTTCTCTTTATTTTTATTATTATTATTTCTTGAGACAGAGTTTTGTTCTGTCACCCAGGCTGGAGTGCAGTGGCACAGTCATAGCTCACTGCAGCCTCAAACTCCTGGGCTTGAGTGGCACTCCTGCCTCATCTTTCTGGGTAGCTGGAATTATGAGTGGGCACTACCACACCTGAATAATTTTTAAAAATTTATTTGTAGAGACAAAGTCTCACTATGATTGCCCAGGCTGTTCTCAAATTCCTGGGCTCAAGCAGTCCTCCCTGCTCAGCCTCCTAAAGTGTTGGGAATACAGGTGTGAGCCACTGTGCCCAGCCTGAATATTTTATTCACACCTCATGAGTTGGTTTAAATGGAAGCATTCATTATTTAAGTGCTCTAGGATGCCCTTATGTTAATCTGAACAGAATGTGTCACTACTCTAGAACTGGAAAATATAAAGGTCCCAAGTACTATGTGAAACATTTAGAACCACGACTTTTAAATGTCCTACATTTAGGTCCTGGAGAAAGGACCTAAAAAATCCTTTAAGTACCTCTTGAGACAATACATATCCTGGGAATCTCCAGGGACACTCTAATCTGTGTGTGATGACTTATTTTTAAGAATCCATTACCATTTATTTCCATTGGATGAATAACCCATCACAGAGATGGGGAACACATGAACAGTGGTAGAGTTGGGGGCAAGAGATGAGTACAAATTTGGTCAAGTGATTGAATCAGCTAATAATTTATTTAATCATGCTTTTCTGCAGGCAACTTTTCTCCATTTGATCTTAAAACTTCATGAGAGGTTTTGCCATATTCTTTGCAGGTAAACATTATGTGTGCATTCTCTAATATACCAGATTCAACCACGGAATGGTCATCCCTGTCTAGAGACTCATAAACAACCATGGGTAGAGCTGGCATGGCGCTTGGAGGCTGCAGGTGGTGAGAGGTTGTTGTACAGAGTATTCAATTTCTCCAATAAATTCATCCAGTCAGACTCTCACACATTGGATCCCAACAGACTCTTTTATATTCCCTTTACCCTGCGTAGTCCTTCCAACCTGAAATTCCCTTGCTTTCTCTTTGTATAATTAAATCTTAAGACTCAGGTTTGCCTTCTCTTCCTCTGTGAAGCCTTCACTGAATGCAATTCACCCATAACTCCCCTCTCTCACACCCTGAGAGCTGGTAGGGCCTATCTTGTCCCACTTCTTAAGTTTCCGCACTGTCCAGTACTGTTTCTTAGGTTTCTGGGTATTTAAGAGCCACCAGCTGGCATTCCTTGCAGATGGATTCCAGAAGTCCCTGAAAAAGACACTGTAGAGTCATACTGGAATCACACTGAACACAGAAGGAATAAATTGTTGGGCTTGGTGGAGGTGGTGACTGGACTCACATGAGAATAGACAGCTGATACACTCTTTCTTCGTGGGAAGATATTTAGCACAGAGAGCATCCTTCTTTTCCTTCCCTGCTCCTTTCTCCCAGAGAGAGGGATAAGGAGACCTGGGCTTGAACCTGAGGAGACCAGACTGGTCTAGACTGGGAAGACGAGTCTAAGCTGTGGTGAGCTGTTTGCAGTTTATAAACAAGTCCTGACATCCCAATTTGGGTGTTGGCAAACAATGTCTTCAGCCCGAGAAAGTTCTCAGAGATGCACCAAGGCCTCAGGCTAAACTGCAGAGTAGGCAAAACCCTTCACCACTCTTCCTCCCACTCCTTCAGTTCCTCAGCACCCCAGATACCTCCAGCCCTCACACTGCCAACTTTGGACATTCCTTCCTTGGTGTCTACCTGGGCTTGATCTTCATAAAGCCTATATGGTAAAGTTAGCTTTTCCTCTTCCCACCAGGTACTGATCTCTTAAAACCAACACGATGCAGGTAATCAAATTGGCTTTATCTTTCTATTAGGTATTCTAGACTAAAAGCTCCATTAAACTGATGTAATTTAGTAAGGGAGATGTTGGGGGGCTAAGGGCTTTGTCTATCTCTATCAGCTGCTCTCCTCTCCCTGCAAGCTAGACTTTGGATAAACTACCAGATAACAGATTTTGTGACTTGGCACGTGGCTTCCTTTCTCCCAGACTTCTTTGTACCTCCCTCTTGCAACCAGCTAAAGAGTCATCCTTGTGGGAACAACTGGGAATTGGCACAGAGACTATTGGAAATCGCAGGTGATCCTGGAACAGAGTGTCTCCCAAATGCCTTATCAGTACAAGCCTCTTGGGACTACTTGGAACCTTCTAAAGGGAATTTCACTCTCTTAATTTCATACTCAGTGCAGGATAACCTTCTGCAATGTTCCCAACTGGCAGCCCTGGATGAAGTACTTCCTGTAAGGAAAAGTTTAGTCCTTTCCAAGGCAGCCTGTTCCATTGTCTGTACTTGTTGGGAATCTCTTTTTGTATAAAATAGAAGTTTAGTTACAGTTTTACTTTTAAGGAATGTGGACTACATCTCCTCTTCCCCATGACAGCTCTTCAAATTATTAAAGAACAGTTGTGGTTCTCAGTACCTCTCTCCCTCCTTCTCTATCTCCCTCCCCAACTCCCTACACACACACACACACACAGACACACACACACACACACACACACACACACACTCTCTCTCTTTCTCTCTAGGTTAGACATTTACATTTCCTCAGTGCTTCTTGTCTGACATGGCTTTAAGACCCTACAACCTTTGATTCCCTTCTTTGGACATTACACTTTGTTAATAAGAATTGGCCAGCCAGGCTCAGTGACTCACGCCTGTAATCCCAGCACTTTGGGAGGCCGAGGCAGGTGGATCACGAGGTCAGGAGTTCAAGATCAGCCTGACCAAGATGGTAAAACCCTGTCTCTATTAAAAATACAACAACAACAAAAAATTAGCTGGGTATGGTGGTGGCCGCCTGTAATTCCAGCTACTCGGAAGACTGAGACAGAATTGCTTAAACCCGGGAGGCAGAGAATGCAGTGAGCCAAGATCGTGCCACTGCACTCCAGCCTGGGCGACAGAGCAAAACTCGTCAAAAAAAAAAAAAGAATTGGCTATGCTCCATTTTTATAAATGGGCTGGTGTTGGGATTCTTACCCCTTTGATTTAATTTTAGTTAACAAGTATTTATTGAGTACCTAATATGTGTAAGGCCCACACATTAACAAGGAACCTGTCCCCAAGGAATTCTGTTTTATCCGTTGGTTAATTAATAGTTCCAATGAGACAGTTAACAGTGAAAAATCCAGGTCTTTGCTGTAAGAACCTTCATCACACAGTTTCTCAATCCTATTTTATGCAAATATAACTCACATTCACCTATGGCTTTCTTCCCTTTTGTTATTAGGCAAAGATTCTTTCCTTCTCAATTATATGCTTCTCTGGAGTCAAGTAAGAGTGCAGTAACAGTTCTACCTTTGTTCATTCACTTAATGGATGTATTAGTTAGGGTAGACTGAATTGCTGCCGTAAATACATGCCAAATGTATAATGGTTTGAACACAGTAGAAGTTTGTTTCTCATACAATTGCTCAAGGGAGGTGCTCCTGACTGCAGTGCAGCTCTCTTTCACAAGCTGGTTAAGGGACCATAGCTTCTTAGACCCTGTGGCTCTACCGACCCTTAAGGCCACATCACCCAGCCCACATAAAGAGTGTGGAAGAACACAGAATAATTGACCCAGACCTGTTGAGGGTGTACAACACTTCCACTTACATCTTTGGAAAGAATTTAGTCATTTAGTTACATGACTTTTCTTCACTGAAAGGAAGACCAGAAAATATAGTCATGCTATGTGCCCAGGAGGAAGGGGAAGAAGGATTCTAGTACATAGCCTGCAGACTGCCAAAATGACATCATTTTATTTCTACTTTTAACCACTATTGTTCATAGTCTTAGTTTAATTTCTATAAAACTTCCATAATTTCTTGGCTATGTTGTTGGATGACCACTGTAGCAAAGGAGGGTTGAGTGTGTGGTTCAGCAGCAGGTGAGCAGGAAAATCTAGGAGGCAGCATCATGGCAGCTGATGGGTCTGGAGGACTGGAGGGAACTGATGGTGTAGGAGACCAGAGGAGACTGAGAGTATGCAACCAGAGGCCCTGTGTGGAGGTTAATCTGCTGAATAGTGAAAGGGGAAGATGACTGAGACAGGAAGAAACCAGGAGTACGATTCATTTGGCTTTGAGAAGAACTTTTTTTTAACACTTCAGCATGGGCAAGGCTATTGTATACCTGACACTATACATGTTTCAGGAAGTTTCCAAGCAATGAAGTAGCTTCTCCAATAATGTGTTTACATTTAATCCATCAGTGAAAAGCTACTTATTGATCTCCCATGATGTGCCCGGATCTATGCTAGGTTCTCTACTAAATAAAAGCCCTATTCTTTTTTTTTTTTTTTGGAGTCTCACTCTGTCGCCCAGGCTGGAGTGCAGTGGCCAGATCTTGGCTCACTGCAACCTCCACATCCCGGGTTCAAACAATTCTCCTGCCTTAGCCTCCTGCGTAGCTGGGACTACAGGTGTCCACCACCACGTCCGGCTGTTTTTTGTATTTTTAGTAGAGACAGGGTTTCACCATGTTGGCCAGGTGGGTCTTGAACTCCTGACTTCAGGTGATCTACTTGCCTCAGTCTCCCAAAGTGCTGGGATTACAGGCATAAGCCATCATGCCTGGCCACAAGCCCTATTCTTAAAGAATTTATAATCCAACTAGTCAAACATAACATGTACCTAAAATAACTCAAAAGCATAGGAGAAAAGTGAGTGTAAAATATATGGATGTCAACTCTCCATATTAAAGAAATTTAAAAGAACAGTTGATCACTGAGGGCCAAGATAGTCAAGGAAGGCTCCATAGAAGAGGCTGGAATAAAATGACTGGGATAGAAAGGGAGACCAAAAAAAGGTGTACCAGGACAGGTAGAAAAGGCCAGAATGAACAGTAAGAGCACCAGGACACATGGAGAGTGGTGGGGTGAAAGGCTATAGAGGTAGGCATTGGGCCTGACCATGGGTAGTTTTGAAAATCAGGAATAGGCACCTAGACTTGGTATGGTAAGAAACAGAGAAAACACAGGCCCTCTCTTTTATCTTTACCATGATGTTTTGCAAGTTAAGAAATCTACTTGAAAGCATCTAACCCTTAACCTGATAGGATGCTAGTAAATATTTATTCACCCCAGAGAGTAATACATTGGCGGTGGTGTGCAGAAAATACTTCATTCATTCATTCTTCAAGCATCTACTGGACGTCTTCGACATGCTATATTCTGAGCTAGACACAGAGGATGCAAAAATTATAATAAAGTCATGGTATCTCATTCGGGTTAGATTATCATAGACTGGATCCTCCTATCTACTGGTAACCAAGAGGTGCAGACTTCCCATACCTGTGCTGTGTTTCTACTTTGCCCCTCATCAAAGTAATGCTGTCTGTCTTGCCCACTTAAATCTGACCCCAGAGATCACTTCTTGTGTTTATTTAAAAACCAGGGTTTGTGCCCATTTCCTTATGCTCATTAGGGCAGGTTAGGCTCCCAGTGCTGAGTTGCTGGCCTCCTTGAAGCACCAACCAAAACAAAAAATATCAGCCTCCTAGTATGTCTGGCAAGAACTTCTGAGATAAATCACGTGAAAGTGTTTCAAAATCCGAGGGAGGCCATCCAAACATAATGGATAATTACTGTGATCACCATCAACAATGGCCGGTCCTCCGCTCCTTGGGGCATGGTCTCTCAGGGTTAGGTTCTCATGATCATGCGTGTGCAAAGGGCCCTGACTTACTTTTGGATTCCTTTGCTTATTGACTATGCATAAGAGGCCACGTTTGGCATCCACGAGTAACTATTTTCAGGCACATTTGTCTAGTTTAGCTGTGAGCTAGTTTGTTTACAAACAATGTGGTCTGCACACAAGGCTGGGAGTTCAGGCGCTGAATAGAATTCCCACTCAGTTTCTAGCCTGCTGTATGACCTTGGGTAACCTGCATAACTTCCCTGTGTCAATTGGTTCTTAACTGTCACCTCAGAGTCATGCTGATTTGTCTAAGAGATGTTTGGAGAGGATGAACTGTTCATCACCTCTAAACTGATTTTTAAATACTGACATAAGGACTCCTGGTTTCCAGTCTGACATACAAGGAACTTAGAAGTTACCATTCCATTGTAATCATAAGTACGAAACCAAGCACAGAGAGTAAAACAATGGCTACCAGGGTATGGAAGGGGTAGGAAATGGGGAGAAATAGGTTAAAGGGTACAAATTTGTAGTTATGTAGGATGAATAAGTCTAGAGATCTAACATACAGCATGAGGACTACTACAGTTAGTACTACCATATCATACACTGAAAATTTGCCAGGAGAGTAGATTTTAGGTGCTCTTAACACACAAACACACTCACACACACACACACACAGTAACTATGGAAGATGATGGGTGGGTTAATTTGCTTGGCTGGAGTAAGCATTTCACTGTATATAGGTATATCAAAATGTCATGTTGTACACCTTAAATATATACAATTTAAAAAGCCAAACAAACTACAAAATCAGCAACTCTTCTTAGATCTGTCAGAGAAGTGAGGCCACAGGGCAATCACTGCCCCCAAAATTAGAGAGACAGACAGGTGGATACAGAGCATCCTATGGGATATCCACAAGTGATCACATTTTAACCGAAAGAAAAACACCAATAAATTCCAAAATGTAAAAATAGTGCAGGAGGCATTTTCTGTTCATGATGTAATATAGCCGGATCTTAATAAAACAACAAAATATTCTAATATCTAGGAAAAAACCCCAAAACTCTTTTTAAAGCAACTCTTGGGTCATAAAGAAAATCAAAATCAAACCTAATATTCAGAAAATAATAAAATGTTTAAATTTAAAATAAAAATATATTTTAAGGAAAGATAGAAGATAGACAGAAGCTATGAAGTTATGTAAAAAAGAAAGCAAGGAAATGGAAAACAAAGAATTCAGCATGATCTTTATCCCTGACGGTTGGAGGAGTGGTATGGACAGAAGCAGAGGGAGGGTATGGGAGGGGCGATATAGGTAGATGGAGGTTATTATCAGGATGCGTTGGATGATAGGTCCATATTTTGAAAATTTTGTTAAAAAAAGGAAGAACTAAACAAAAAATGGCTATGCATTTACTAATGATGAGAGTATATCATAAATTAAGGATGATGATTAATCCAATTCTGTGCCAGAAACTAATTTAGAAATAACTATATACTAGAACCTAAGGACTGCAATTTAAAGCAGTGCTCAGAGGAAAATTCATAGCCTTCCATATGTAGAATCATAAACAAAAGTAACATCTGACTCAAAGAGTTAGTAAAAAGAACTGAATAATAATAATAAACCTAAAGAAAGTAGAAACTAAAAGCAGAAATTATTTAACTAATAACACACAAAGTGGTGTGTGTAGTGGTCAGATTGAAATAAATTATGGACTATCCATACAGTTCAATACTCTGTAGCTATGAAAAAGGGAAGAGAAAGCTCTCTCTGGATTGATAGGGAATAATTGCCAAGCTATGTATAATAGCTAAGTAAAAAAAAAAAAAAAGCAAGGTGCTTTTATGTAAAGTATGCTATCATTTTTCATTTGTGTAAGAATCAGGAAAGGTAAAGAATATCTACATATATATGTGCGTGTGTGTGTAGATATACATATAAAGATATATACATATATACACATATATACATATATATGTATACACATACACACCTGCACATATATGTAATTGCTGGTATATGCCTATCTCTGGAAATATTCATCAGAAACTTGAAGCATTAGTTGCTACTGGCTGGAAGAAACAGTAAGAGGGAAATTTTTTGCTACCTTTTTGCACCTTTTAAATTTTGAATCACATGAATGTGCATACTTAGTTAAAAATTAAGTTAAATAACTGATAAGTAACTTATTTCTGGTTTTTAGAAATACGGAACTGAACAATCTTTTAAATTTAAGATCATAAAATATAGAAATAGTTTTATTTTTCTAAATAACATTTTTATTTTCTAAGTATATATTTTTCTAAATTATGTATTCCAAGTCCAGTTATGAGAGAGAGATTGTGGGAAATGAAAGGAGTGATAAACCACAGGAAAAAAGAGGGACCATGGGAAATGAGACTAAGACTTAGACGGGAGCCCAGGAACCTATGCCGAAAGAGAGGAGCCAGACAATCGGAGAAGTCTGGTGAAGCAGGAAGAAGTACAGCATTCTACAAGTTCTAGGATCAGGACAGTAGGGTACAATGTTTTTGCAATAATGCCTTCCACGTGGGACATGAACTTTAGAGCAAACTATCGTGTTACAATAGTCTTCGAAATTATGTGAGAATAAAACGTTTATTTTTTCCATGGAAACCTAAGAGTTTTCTCATATGTGAAAAGAATTAGCAAAGGTTTAAGAAAGTCACCTAGGAACCTAGTATATCTTTGACATTCAAAAGTGGTCAAGTTGCTTTGTCTTTTTTCACAAGAGAATTTGGGTTCCACTATTAAATAATGCCAGGCAGTTATATTTGAAAATAGTGTTTATTTCACCTTTTAAAGCCTCCCTTGACCACAAATAAGTCTAACTCATGAGACTATAATAATGTTTTATTTTTCCAATTTTTCAGTTAAAAATATCAAACTCCTGGAGGAGCCACCCTTAGAAAATGAAGCACAATATCAACTTAATAAAATAAAAATTTATGTTTCTGATGACAATATCTTGGCTTGAATAACGTCATCTCCGAATGCAAATATAAGAGAGTGAAGTTAAGTTGGGACCCAATCAAGTTTTGAAGGTTCCCATTTCTGGCATATAAAATAATGCAAGTTTAATGTTTTGGGAGACACCATTACCTCTATTGCCACCTGCTGGTAAACGTATGTCTCATTTAATTCAGTTAATGGCTCACCCCTGATGAAACACATTTAGGATCCTGGAGATAGATTTGCAGCAAAATAACTTTTACTGCTTCAGAAGTGGTCACTGGTTTATGGATGCAGTGGCTGACGTATCACGGGATTGGTTGTGCTGAGTTATGTCCCTTAGCGCATAGGACAGCCGAAGACAGCCTGCACTGGTATGTGGATTTAGACAGGCCTTCCTCTGGCAGGGCCTCCTGCTCTCCCAATTCTTTAAGTTTGTCTGTTCTCATGTCCATCAAAACACAGGATTCTTCTCCTTAAAGAGATCAGTTTTTAAAAACACTGAATGATTCTGAGTCTTAATTTTAAAAAATTTAATCAAAGGCTTTTGACCCTTCAAATGAACACGGACCACACACATACATACACTCATACATACGACTGCTTTACTTTGGTTCTGAGGTTGAAGTCAACACTGATGAACAGAGATGCTTTTATTTATTCTGCATGCAGCCTTTCTCTTGCTTCTCCTACTCACATGCTTTGTTCTTCTGCTCTTTCAAAACCTGCATTTCATACTCAATGCTTGTGCATTTAGCTGCAACACAAACACTCATAACTCACAGTGTGGCTAATGTTTATACATTTTCTTATAAACATAAGGAGCCTACTTTATCTGGAATCCTCACTTTATCTGGAATCTTAATAAGTAGAAGAAAAATATGACCATTTTCCTTGTATGGGACCACCTCGTGATGCTAATTGGTCATAATGTTCCCCCCAAATACTGTAAGATTCTGAGGTGGCTTTTGTTACCCATTTACTTATTTGAGGACAGTTGGGTGGCTGGTTTCAAGTTTTTGGTGATTCTGACTAGAGCTGCTATAAACATACTTGTACAGGTTTTTGTGTGAGCATAAGCTTTCATTTCTCTAGAGTAAAAACCTGAGGGATGGGATTATTGGGTCACATGGTTTCTGCATGTTTAACTTTGTAAGGAATTGTCAAACCATGGTCCAGAGTGGCTTTACTACTTTGCATTCATATGTGCAGTGCATGAGATTTCCAGTTGCTCTGCATCCTTGTCAGCACTTGGTATTGTCAGTATTTTTTATTTTATGTACAGTGGTAACACATTGTAGTTTTAATGGACATTTCCCTAATGATGAATAATTGTTGAAAACTTTTTGTGTACTTACTTATCATCCAGCTATCCTTTTTTGCTAAGTGCCTGTTTAATTACATTTTTTACATTGGGTTGTTTGTTTTCTGTTGTGTTTTGAGAGTTCTGATATATTCTGGTTATGTCTTTGGGTGATACAATTCTTGAATCATCAAAAAATGTATGAATATTTAGGGTTTTTTAGCGTAAAGTTTTTAATTCTATTTAGTTCTTGGTGATTTACATATGCAAGCCACCTAAGTCTATTAATTAAACTTTTCCATCACCCAGAACTGTGTGTATTTTGAATGACTGGGTGCTTTTTAAGGAGGCCTAGAGGGAAAGCTGGTAAACTGCCCCAATCAGAGTCTAGAAAGAGCCATTTGGTGGATTCACAAAGGCATGTCCAGGGTTTTTAGTCTTAAACTTGAAGATTCAGAAATGTGACTTGGTTGAGCCAGGCATGGTGGCTCACGTCCGTAATCCCATTACTTTGGGAGGATGAGATGGGAATATTGCTAGAGCCCAGGAGTTTGAGACCAGCCTGGGCAACATAGTGACTCCCTGTCTCTTAAAAAAAAAAGAAAAAAGAAATGTAACTTAGCCAGTGTCTTAAGAGCTGATCCCACTTGAGGACGCTTATTCATGCTAGCAAGGTTCTCAAGAGACCAAAGTGCAAGACCAGGGTAGCAGCTAATGCACTAAGGGAACCTCTTATGTCTTCTCCTATAGCCCCATTTGATATTAACAAGGTTCCTTGAGGAGCTTGGAGTTGAAATAAAGGGGATTTAGCTACATCAGTGGTTGCGATAGAATTTTTACTAGGTCATGGTGAAAAAAAATAAGCATAATTTAACTTTTCTTAATGGATTCAACTTAAAGGGCTACCCTTTATTTTGAGGTTATATCCTTTCTACAACTGTGGCAGATTCCATATGAATTTATTTTCTTTGAGTGTATTAATGGCTTACTGGCCTAGAAACCATTCTGAAAGTAAAGAACCATTCTATGTTATAATTTCAGTCCTATCACCTGGATTTCTGAGACCTTGGGAGCTACCTCCCTCCCACTTCCTCATCTATATGTGTGTAAGTCAACTGAACTTGGCATTCAAGGCTCTATACAATCTGACTCTTGGCTTCTAATTTTATTTCAATCCACCTTACCATGAGAATCCTCTGCAGGTAAACCAGTCTTCTTGAAACTCCCAATATGCTGTGCCTTTTCTTGCCACTGGATATTTGCTGTATGATGCCTAGCGCACCACTCCCTCCTCCACTGATCTTCTTTGATGTCTTTTCAGCCCAAAGTGAACACACATTCCTCTGGGTTCTTACAGCACCTGTCTTCGGTACCATTCCCAAAGCATTTATCCCACGATATCTTTCATTGTGGGTGACTCGTGTGTGCTTTAATGAATGATCAGATAGTGCCCCCTTTGGATGGAAAGCTTCTGAAGGGGGAGAAATAAAGGCCCACCTTTTAGAAATCTTGGCAAGTCTCACAGCAAATGGCACAGTACTTCTCACAGCGGGTGCTCAATAAGTGCCTGTTAAAGGAATGGATGAAGAAATAAATGTATGAGAAACAGTATATTTAAATTCTTGCAACAGAATTCCTCTTTTCACCCATGGTTACCTATGTGTTTTGATACTTGAGCACACTCTTATACACACATCCTATATAAATATACAAATCGAGGGCTCCCTTGGGTTATCTCCTCAGACGTGTGAGTCTGTGAGTGTGGCCTGCACATCAGCATGCCCAGGCAGAAGAAAAAACAAGCAGGCACTCCCAACTGGGGAAGTCATTTGCAGCTCCTCCCATTATGACTGGCTGAATCTCCTTATTTAAAACAAACAAAGAGCTGGAAGAAGCAACCCAACTGACCAGCTATTAGCAAGTCAGTTATCAAAACACAGACCTGGTCTTTAAACCTATAAAACAGCAAACCCTTAAAGTCTGCTCCTGACCTTTAGCATCTCTGTGGCCAGCTGGAACCTCCCCTAGCTCTCTCTTTAGGACCCTTAGGGGCCACGCGTTTGTATCACAGGGAAGCTATTTTTCGAGTTTATTAGGCTGAGAGCATTTTCATTAATCTCAAAGGGCGTCTCTCTCCTTTCCTTTGCTTCCTATGCCACAGGGCAAGGACTCCACCCAAAGGCAATTCAGCTGCCATTTTCCACAGTCTATGGTTAGTCAGAGAATTGTCTAAGGGCTGCAGAGAAGGAAGACCTGACATTTAGATCCTAGAGACAAGAGGGCTACTGTAGAGCCAGCAAGAATGACCAAAAGAGGAAACTGGAACACGATCTAGGCCACAGGAGGCAGATGTGGTTCATCTCCTGTTTCTGATGTCCACTGAGTGGTCCCATAGTCTGGCCTGCTCAAGTGCTGGCCTGTCCACGTGCAAGCCAAGGGAGGGAAGTGTCATTAAACATCCTTTAATCTGTGATGCTTGTGAATCATCATTGTGGTCAACAAAATGGGCATCAATCCCCAATGCTGTAGATGGAAAAGGGGTAGAAAACAGAAAGGAATTTATAGCAACCACAGGCCACAGCCTGGCAGTGTTTTGTTTGGGTTTTTGAAATAAATTAGGTCTATCACCTTTTCGTTGTCCTTCACTTCTTTCTCTTAAAAAGTAGAGTGTATTAAAATACTGGTTGCATAACTATTCTATTTGATTATATAATACCAACTTTATAGAGTTGAATAAAACTGCATTACACAATTATATAGTGTGATTTCACCTATACAGTAAAAAAGAAAGATGGAGAGAGGACTCAAAGGAACTGTACTAAAGTTAACAGTGAGTGACACTGGGCAGTGGAGTCATAGATAATATTTCCTGCTTCTTTATACTTTTCTTTCAACATTTTCTCTAATCAGCGTTTATTACTCTGAAGATCTGGAAGATGCTGATCAAAATTAAAAAAAAAAAAAAAGATTATATTGTACAGAAAGGTTGTTTTCAACCTAATTTATCTTTCAGAGGTTTTGCCATTTTCTACCTATGTGACCTTGAGTAGGTTACTTAACCCTTTGAATCTTAGCTTTCCTCCTCTGTAAAATGGGGATAATAAGTGTTTACTTCCATCAAAGAGCTCTGTGAAAATTAAATGAGAAAACACAAGCAACTCATCTAGTACTGAGCCTGATGAAGCATAGATACTCAATAGTGGGTAATCAAAAACTGTGAAGTAACACCTCTCATTTCTTATAGGGTAAGCAACTTTAGGAGCCTGTTTGGGCCAGTCTTGAAAATGGAGGGACTCCATTTACTTCCTGCCACTGTGATAGTCCACTGTATGATTTCTTGCTTTTCTTCAACTATGCCTGAGAATGGCTTGACCCAAATTTCAGAAGCTTAATGAAGTCCTAAAGGCAATTATGTAAGTGTAAATAATAGAATGAGGTGGTAAAATGCAGGCACATGTGCTTTGAATTTGGAAAAACCAGAGTCTAAATTTTTCTAATTACTAACTGTGTGATCTTAGGCAAGTGACTTAAGTTTTTGGAGTCTTGATTTCCTCATGTTTAATAATTCTAACATCCACTGAGTCATTATTACGTGTCAGGCACTAGGCTAAACATTTTATGTACATTAATATATTTAATCAACGTGGCCACTCCATGCCACGTAATTATTATCCCCATTTTACAGATGAGGAAGAGGTAAAGGAGGCTGCCTGAGGTCACAGAGCTGCATATTGGTAGTTTGAATTTTAACTTAGACAGTCTGACACTAGAGCCTATCTTCCTCACCACCATGCTTATTTGAGGAATTTCATACATAGTGTCCCCAAAGGATGTATGTTGGAAAAGATATTAATATTCCAGATGTTGCATACCAGTGTCTCAGGTGAATAATACTTGGGTTCATCTCTTTCCTATACTCTTTTTCTTTTTTTTTTTTTGAAATAAAATCTGGCTCTGTTGCCCAGGCTAAAGTGCCATGGCTTGATCATGGCTTACTGCAACCTCAGCATCCTGGATTCAAGCAATCCTCTCACCTCAACCACCCAGGTAGTGGGGACTACAGACACCTGCCACCATACCTGGCTTTAAAAAAATTTTTTTGTAGCAATGAGGTCTCACTAAGTTGTCCAGGTTGGTCTCAAACTCCTGGGCTCAAGCAGTCCTCCCACCTTGGCCTCCTAAAGTGCTGGGATTACAAGCGTGAGCCACTGCACTCGGCCCACACTCCTTTTCTTAATATTCAGAGCATTTCAAGGAAAGGCAACAATTAAAAAAATGCTTTAGTTTGTTACACATCATCTTTTAGACATTGTGCTAATATTGGCTTATTATTCCAATCCTAACACTACTAATGACAGTTACCACTTACTGAGTACTTATAAGTTACCAGGTACTGGGTTAAGGGCTTTGCATGCTTTATCTTAGTGCATCCCAACAATAAACTTACGAAGTAAGCTTTATTAGTCCCATTTTGTAAATGAGAAAACCGAGACACAGAAAAGAGAAACTTGCCAAAGTTCATGAATAGTAAATGGTGGAACCAGAATGCAAGCCCGAATCTGTCTGGTTTTTAAGTCTCTGCATTTAATCATCTCATTACACTAGCTTCCCACCCTCCTCATCATTTTTTTTGTGTTTATCTATGTGGTTTTAGAGTAGCATGAAGGATCACCCTGGGATCAGATTATTCTGGAAAGCTATCCAGTACTGTGCTTTTTCTACTTTCTGTGGAGGCTGGAGAGGCAAGATTCACTATGAGAAGGCTGAGATCACCCAGTAGCCTAGCACCGTAGGCTTAGGTCAGCACATCAAATCTGCTATACACTATTGCAGTGGTTGCTAGTGCTCTTGGCAAAATCGTTCATTTTCCTTAATCTAGGCATAGGGAAGACTGAACTTCTTGAATTCCTATGGTTGAGTGGAATCTTGTAACTAGTTATGACCTTTGAATTTTGTGTGGAAGTGACATGCAACAGACACTTCCAGGCTGGAGCCTGGAGCCTATTTGTGACTTTTTAGAGCTTTCTTTTCTCTTTGGTACAATAGCCAGCAGCATTCAAGACGGTGGCTGCTCCATCAGCCTGGGATTCCAGGTGACTACAATAAGCAAAGTTTCCTGATGAATTGTGATGAATATGTAGCTTCAGTACAAAAGAAACCTTTATTATTTGAGCCACTTAGATTTGAGAGTTGTTTGTTACTGCAACATAACCTAGTCTGTCCTGACTGATACAATCATGTAGCACATTGTGGACCATACAAGCAGTGCCTGGACATCAATGTGCTAGTTGCCAATGTACCGTGTCCATGACTATCATCAGTGTAGGGGAGGAAAGAAAGACAAAAGGGAAGGCAGAGGGTGGTAGCGACAGAGACAGAGACTAACTTTCACTTCTGGCAGAACCTTTAGGAAGCTGTGTCTTTTACTGTGATGAAACATCAAGAAACCACAAGGGCTGTGACCGTATCTTGCTCAGTATTTCCAGTGCTGAGTAAGGTGACTGACACTTATTAAATATTGCCGATTTCATAATATGTTGGACTAGCATTTTATAAACAACAAAATCTTCAGGAATACACGTTCTTGGAACATTTTACATGGTTTTGGGATTTAATTTAGCCAAAATCAATCCAACTTTCTTAGTTAGCATTTTAAATGTGGCTAGCTTAATTCCTTTGCCTTTTGTCACTTATTAGTTCAAGGTTTCTGGCCCTGGGGTCTCAGGATACTGGGCAAGTGCTGTTTTTTAAAGGGGGCCTTCCTGTGCCCTTTTCTCCATCAGAAATTAACACAATCCTTACGCTTCAAAATGAAGCAGGGAAGCACATTCATATTCAGATAAGAGTTTTCACTCTAATTAAAGAATAAATAAATACTTTAGCTCAAATTTATGCTTAATCTGAAGGTCCACGATCCCTTCATGGAGTGCGGAGCTGCTCATATAGGGGGATGGGTGGAGGTGACTCATTCTGTAGAGCAACAGCTGCAGCCATCACATAGACAAGCCGCCAGACCCCACAGGCCAGAAGAAAAGAGACACGGAGAGGGAAAAGGAGGAATGAGTGCTCTTAGAGCAAAGAAACAAAGAAACAACCTTGTGCTTGCATGAAGTCCTACAAGGTTGAACACCTCTTCAGGTAATTCCCTTCTTCTTCCTGTCAGTCATTATTCCATCATTTCTTTCAAGAATCACTTGCCAGCAAGCCAGTATCCTACCGTCACTAGACTGTGACTTCCTGGAGTGCAAGCATGATGTCTCATTCATCTCTTAGTCATCCTACCCCACACTTCGTGCCTAGCATGGTGGAGACTACCAGTAGATGTTTGAGGAGCAAATGATACCTCCGGAGCTGGGACCATCCTGTAAACTACAACTAAGTGACCCTGAAAGGGGGGCCATTAAACTTCCACTCCTAGCCCTAACTGAGGACGTGAGTTGCTCACTTTTCAGTTTGCACACAAGTTCATTTGCAGCTGCTTTCATCATTTATTTGATTCCTCTGCTTTCAACAAGTTGGTGTTGCGAAAGTTCAGCTAACTATCCCCACGGCTCCCCATGTGCAGTG